AGCAGTCTAGTTGGTCGAAGTGTAGTTAGAGTTTGAAAAGAATCTCAACATATTTACTAACTAAAAATGTACATGTTATATAATACCGCCATCAAGGAAACATATCACATCATCTGACAATCTATATACTTCTTTATTTTGGCATACACATGTTTGCTAAACGTTATGCTGTTGTAATAGTGAAAAGTCTGGCAAAAATTAGTTAGTAATTTCTCCAATTGGTACTAAAGACAATATCTCATCACCTTTACCAAAAGATTAGTAACATAAATTTCAGTCTTTCTCTGTCTATTTTCATTTCTTTGTCAAATACATGAAGCTGGACATTTACTGAAAAACTAGTATAAATTAGATCCAGAATAAAAACAGTTTATACACTCAAAAATATTTCGAGATCTAAAGCATGTTTTTCTTAGAATAAGCTTAATTAGATTTTTTATCGTGATCTAATCAATGATTTCGCTATAAAAAAATTTAGTTTTCGTAACCGAGATCTTTTACCTGATTTTTCTTAAAAATTTGTCAACCAGGATCGAAAGAATGTTATTTCCGTGATTTTTTAAATTCATGTTCATACAAAAAGATGCTCTTCTTCGTGATACTCAGCTGAAATGACAGAATATAATGAATATTGTTCCAACAACCGATCTCGTTCAAACTCTGAATTTCAAACCATTACATCTCTAATGTTAGTCCAAACTTTCAAAATCCGTAGGTTTCCTCTCATAAAATCTTTTTTTCTGCATAGGATAAGTCCTTTCAATGAAACCAAATAACATATTTGAATTGAGCTCAAACTATCTCACATAATGTAGAAACAACAGATTTTTGAGGAAAAATGTTTTAGTGAAAACGTTCGCTCCAGCGATGGGCAACTCCAGACTTTAGCATCTTTTCAATGGAGTTGAAGTTGTGTTTTTATTAGACTTGAGTTGAGTTGAATTCAGATTTTTTCAATTTCAACTTCACAACTTCAGTTAAAATTTTTATAACTCTGAATATTCCGTTTTTTTGTTACACTAGTAGAGAGTGTTATCATAAAGTGGTTTTCTTTTTCGATCCCATTGGTGTAGAATGGCAAAAAGTACACTTTCAAAATTAACATTGTTGAAATGCAATTTTGAATTATTATTACAATGACTGTTTTTGTGTCCACTCTTGTAAACAAAAGCAAAGTAAATAACTGCTAATAAAATAAAGAAAATGAATCAAGACAAAATAAGTTTTTATAGGATTTTTTTTGAAACGGAGTTGAAGTCAAAGTTAGAGTTGAAGTTAAACTTAGCCGGATTGCCTGTCTCTGGTTCATTCTTGATTCTGTTGTGTCGATTTTCGAAAATACTCATGTGAAGACGTTCAATAAAATTTTCGATGAGAATATTCATTTGATCATGTAGCTAAACAAAGTTTTCTTATTCGGCATGAATCATTTCTCTATTCATGATTTATACATCGTCTTGTACCATCTACCATTTTATACTCGATTCTTATTGTTCTCATTAAGAAAATGTAATTAAGGCCGTTTATTATCTTAGTAACTATCATTCGTACGACTCATAAAGAACAATAACATTAACACTCGAAATAATTTTTATTGCACATACACCTATTGTATAAATGTGTTCAAGTGATTCTTTTTTTCCACTTTATTCACCATTCACTTCATCTCAAGTGTTTCAACTACAATGGAATTGAAAATGTGCTTAAGGCAACGTTTCATTTTATATATATATATACCAATAGAGTATTCTTACGCATATTTTCTTTTGTCTAGGTCATGTGATTCAACTTCTATAATAAGTGATCGTGAACAAGAATATAATCTCGATTTCTACCTGAATAAAAAAATTATGATTTATTAATGTATCTCAGTGTGATTTATTGTATCGACAGTATATACCATGATTATGCAAAATTTGTCAAACAGAAAAATTGAAAAGATTGAATAGAAGAAAATTGAAACTCAAACAATAAATTTATTTAGGTCAAATTTTTTACGTTCGGAAATGATGAAAGAAAAAATATATTAAATTTTCTAAATCTAAAATTATACATTGTATACACTTCAGATCGTTACACTTACAAACAATGGGAACTTTCTCCTGAATAGATCTTTCAAGAACCGGCCTTGTCATCAAGTTCATACTCAACAATAAGATTTAGTTGTCAGTGAATCAATTAATTAAATGAACAACTCTCCATATGAATGATAAGAAAGACATTTCGTTAGTTGCTCTTCAGAGAATTGATCCGCAGAAAATTGCTACCAAACAAATTTTGCTCTTTTTACTCTTCGGTGAATTTTTAATTTCGAAAGTATTCTCGTTACATATTTGATATCTATAAGAACTCGAAACAGTTCAAGATGCTTTTTGTTGAAATGTAGCTCTCTTCGATCGGACTTCTCATGAGGTTTCTTTGTATAATTATCACTGATACAATATTTTCCGTTTTATTCTTCTATTAATTGTTGTTCAATGTTTAATCAAAAAAATTAAATCACAGTTTGGCTTTGATATTTTTTGATGCTTTCCATAAATTTTGCATAAAAATTTACTGATATTAGTTAAAGTTTTAGTTTGTTAACCGAAACTATTACCGGAATATAGCTGAAATCAATATCACAAAGGGATACGCCTCCTGACAAAACTGTGACTATTGCCTATTCACAATTTTTTTTCAAGGAATCATTAATCTGTTGACTACAAAACTGTTTCTCTATACATCTATAACTAATGCATTCTTGCTGAGAGAATTGATAGTGACTGATAATGTTCATTTTTTTTACACTACCGATATTGGCGTCATTAGTTTGAAGAGGTTGAATAAAAAGAAGCTCGTTCCTTTGTTCTATTTTGATTTTTGACTACTAGAAAATTCTAACCATTCAATTTAGGATAAAATTACAGATTTTTGACGATAAAATGTTTTAGAGTAAAGCAAGAAATCATTATTAAATGAACATCGTGTATGTATAATTATTGAGTTTTCAGCTTAGAAGAGTGCCAGTATGCTCGAGGAAAGTTTACGGAGAGAGAAGACGTAAATATGTTTGCAATTATACAGATTAGCAAAACGAGATTTAAAGTGTAATCTACTTTTAATGCATACAACATATCTACAAAATATCAGCTCTCAAAACTGAACTATTTGAAATTGAACTTTCTCTATTTGATTGATAAATGAATTTGATAAGAAACAACTATATTCAAGTAGAATTCATAAGAGCTATTTTCAATAATAATTTATCCTTTTTGTATGATAGAATATGAGCTAAGGGTTTTATTTATGATTTTTTGGTATAATTGTGAAGTATATAATTGAATCTGTTTTACGACTATTTTATGTGGTGTAACCTTTGATCATAAATATATTTTATCAATAGGCAAATTACGAATATTGTACTATAGAAACTTTTTTTTTTTGCAAAAGAAAAATAATATTTTCACAATATAAATCATTTCTTATCTTCAAGTTGTGTCTCAATGAAATTGGAAATCGAGTGTTGATTTTGTACCAATTTTCAGCTAATACGAGTTTTTTTTTTACGTAGTATCAGTAAATTTGAGTTTATTACTCTATAATTGTACGGAAAAGAAGAAAAACGGATGAAGAGAATAAAAAAGTATATAACAACAACAATAACTGTCAAAAGGAAAAGAACAAAAAAAACAAAACAAAACGAGATTTTGAATAACGCGTTCACATTTTTCACGACCTATAGAATTTATGTTGCTTGCTTGCTATTGCGCTTGTATAAAAGAGAGAGATGTATGTAATAAATAAAACGTTATTTCGAAATATAAAAACGAAATGTCAGTTACATACACGCATACCATATATAGATATTGACCGTCAGTATAATGAGATACAAGCAAGATTGACAAAGGTCAATCACCAAATCTAATAGAACACATGGCTGATAAATAATATCAGAGAGAGAGAAAGAGAGAGCAAGAGTGAAAGAAAATGTTAATAAAAAAAAAGTCAAAGCTAATGAGTTTTATGAGATACAAATTCAATTTGTCGCGTTAATTGATGATAGTGGGAGTGAGAGTTCAAATGGTTAAAAACAAACATTTTTTTCAATAATGTAACATATCAGATAGTGACAGTATATTACATTTGTAAACAAAACAATAAAATAAAAACGGAAAACATAAACGCACACACACACACATATATATATATATTTGTATATATATATACTTTTATTTTTTATCAAACCGGCAAAAATATTCTATGGCACTCGAATAAAACGGGGAAAGATAGCCTATAACAAATGCTATTTTGAATATGAAAATAATAATACAAAAACTGTTCATAATATATATGAATTGATATATATATATGTAATTCACAATCAAAAAACCAATTAAATCGAAGAACTATTTTTTAAAATAGAAATAATAATAATAATTATGTTTTCTTTTCTTCTTCTTGATTTTTCTAGATATGAAAATAAGATACATATATAAGGACAATATCAGTAATAATAATTATATAAAATGTCGAAGTTATAAATATAGCAAGAAGAAAATATGTTCTTCTGGATTATTTTTACTGGTGATAAACATGTAGACGAATGCTAATAATAATAGTAATAATAATAATAATAATAATAATAATACAATATTTAAACGATTTCGTTATAATGTCAAGAATGTATGTGAATCGTATCGGAATGTAGAAGTCTAGTGACTTTAATTGTTATAACATCAACACTCAAACAATGACGAGTGCGTTGAAAAGCCAATTATCCTCTGTTTTTGTATGTACGAACAAAAAAAAGTAGAATACAATTTTGTATTTTCAATATTACCAAACAAAATGTCTTTACATTAAATTACAAAACATAAACTTTTTGTTTGTTATACTTACTTTATCAATTAATTAATATACGTTTGACGTTAATTTTTTTCAGAGCGAGAATATATAGGACTAGAGTAGATGAATAGAGAAAAAAAAGAGAAACAGATAAAATTATGTACAAAACACAATTAAGTATCTGTTTGTTCAATAATTGGTGGTGATGGTCTCTGACGTAAATGAACGCCATCAACATCAATAACATAAATTTCATCATCTTGATCATTAATATTTTTCTTTTGGTGATTTTTTCTCCATACCTGAAATGATTTTAATGTGTCTGATGGTTTTCGTCTATTAGAATAGGAATCGGTAGTGCTTTCATCGATATTGTTAATAAGTTCGATCGACAAAATATTATTTTCTACTGGTAAAATATCATTTAGATGTTCTTCTACACTATTAACCATCGATGGATGAAATTGAGTTATGGGCATTATTTCATTGTCATCATTAATAGCAAAATCGCCATATCTGTTGCTATCAATTGAATATTGATCTATTAAATCAGAACCATTATTAGTTAATGGTATCAACGGTGATTGTTGTTGAATTTCTTGTTGACGTGCCGGAATGTCGACATAAGTATCATCATCGATTACTTGAGCATAAGAATAATCCATATCTGTTCGATTTGTATCTCCATGAATATCCGTCACGAAAATCGGACGGTTTTTTTCAGCAATAAAATAGGCCCATTCGTCAAAACTTAGACCATGTGTATCGATTGCACTGTTATTGTTGTTATTAACATTTTCAAATTCATCAATGTCATCATCGTTCTTACTTGTACTCGCAGATGCAGACGATGTGGCAGATGATGGACGTAAAATAATGTCACTCAAAAGAGATTTTATACTATTATCACCTGATTGTTGATGTATAACTTTTCCTTTATCTTCTATAGTTTTTGTTGTGATAGTTATTCGTTTTCTATTATTGTTTATTGTATCGTTAATAGGCGATTGATGATCATTGTTTTCAGTAATGTTAGAATGCTCTGCGGGCCATGTATGAGTACGTATACCTTGACTATTCAAGGAACTTGTTGGTAATTTTTTATCTGTATTTTCGATAGCTTCTAGATAAAACTCTTCACCAAGATAATGTTGAACATCGTCGGACGAAAAAGACGTTTCTGTTGTTGCACTACTTGCCGTTAATGTTGTATTTAAGTCTTTCGTAGAGTCCCAAATTTTAGAAGAAGGTAGCGATGAAGAGATTGAACTGTTCGTTAAACTTTGAAGTTTTAGTTCTGAACTATTATCACTCATCTTACTAAGATTATTTGAATGAGTGTCTCTCTCTTTGAAATTTGAGGCTGAGTCATCGACTGTTGGTGGTTGAGATTGATCGTGTTGTTCGCTGCTGCTTGATTTATCTTGTGTTTGTTGTTTATTTTTGTCGTCACGATCGGATGGATATTGTCGATTAGCGTTGTTCGAATTAGCAGTGTTAAACCAGGTCGAAGAACCAGGTTGGATAACGGCATATCCACTTGTTTCATGGACACGCTTATCCTCTGAAATATAATATGGTCCTTGTTTATACGATAACCACTCGGATGTACTTAGATCGCTGTCTGTTTCTTCTCCATCACTGAACGATGTCGGTTTAATTATTAGACTTTGCATCGCTGATGTTAAACTACTCATTGCTTTTTGTGTACTGGGTTTTTTTGTTTCGCTTTGTATTGATTTACCCTCTTGCAACCACTTGCCAAAACCTCTGGCTAAAATAGCATCACCCGATTCTTGCTTTACATCTTGATGTTGTACGTCATCAATGGTAGCCGAGGTTTGATCGAGTGGTTCATATTGATCCTTCTTAGATGAGAATGAATGATAGCCAGAAACTGATTTTAACTGTTCAGATAGGTCAACTTTTTCTTTTTTATTGGTGGTGTCTTCATCTAATTTTGTCCGTTTTTGTGTATCTTCAAGTAATTGATCTGTTGCTTGATTTAGACGATCTGTTGTCGTTGAAATTGTATCTTGTATTCTATCTAGTAGACCACGATTATCAACCATATCCGGACTTTTCTCAGCAGCATTTTGAACATCATGCGCTGTATCGCGAATATGATCAGTAACAGAATTGACGGTGTCACGAACGGTCTGAACAAACCCGGCACTAGTGGACTGTGCATTTGTTTCATCTGACTGTTGATCACTATGAACTTCAAATTTTTCGTCGGCAGCTGGAGTACTAGTAAAAGATGACTGAATACTAGTAACGACGTTGTGCATTGTTTCACCCACTCTTTGTCGAACATCTTCCAATACACTGCGCTGATTAGTAGAATCTTCATTCGTTTTGTCAGCTGTTGTTGGCTCTTGTATAGTAGTTGTAGAAACATCTTCAGCCGGTCTTATACTTGAAACCACGCTCATCACTGTTTTACCAATAGCCATGATAGGCGCTGTGGCAGTTTGTCGTATAGTTTCGAGTAGATCTGGTTGTTGGGGAGCGTCAATAGTGCTATCTTGCGATCTTGTCTAAAAGAAAAGTGTTTTTTGAAAAAAACAGAAAAGATTTTGTAGGACTTTAACATAAGAAGAATGGCAAATTCCAATACTTTTAATCTTTCACTAAATCGACTTTGACTCTCTATAAAACCGACCTTATTTTTTAAACTTTAGTGGAAGCTTTTTAACGTAATCTGTTTAAAGTGACTCTCCTCCTGATTTAAAATGTTTCGATGTTTGACTTAACATTAAACTTACTGTGTCTTTTGCACTTGAGCTAATAACACCCGAATCTCCTTGTTCATCTTGTTTAATTTCTTCTCCATGTAAAACAGATGGTACTACAGCAATGAATTCAACATCATCACCTGATGTACTTTTTCGTTTACGTTGTCGTTTCTTTTTTGTCTGATGTTGTTGCTCACTTTCAATTTCTGCCGACAAAGATGAACGTGAATGTTCAAGATCTGGTGAATGAATAATACTACTGTCACCATGAATAGTTAATGGTTTTAAGCTGAAATCTTCGTCTTCTTCATTATCAGCAAAAAACTCTTCTTGTTCTTGTTGTTTGTTCAACGATGTACTCAGTTCTGATGTTGTACGGTGGCGATGTTTCGGTTTAACAATATGAAAATCGGACTGATCAGGAATGTTTTCGAGTGCAGCTGTAGGTAAATCAATTTCTACCTTCACACCAGCAAAATATTGTTCAATCTCACCGGAATTATCATGTCCGCTATCGTGTTTTGATCTTTTTCTTGCTCTCTTCTTTTTGCTTTCAGAACTAGTTGTATCTCTTAATGGTTCTGCTTTCTGACTATCGACAAAAGTGACTTTTTCATTCGTAGTAATTTTGTCCGAGTGCGGGACTGTTTTATGAAGTTGTTCTTCAGCATTTCTTATACTATTCAAGTCAAATTTCGGCAGTTCAGAACGTAAACCTTCTAACTGATCATGCAAAATTAATGACTCTTTTTGCTGCTGATCTTCAGTTATTAGAGGAGTTTCTTCAATTTGAGTGGATGGTATAATATTACTAACTGTATTTAGTATAGTCGAGAGAGAAGATGTCATTTTACTTTTCAAATTCGTAAGTAATGAGTTTTGTTCGGTGGAGGTTGTTTGAGGTTCATCTTTTGTACTTTGAACGGAGAAATCTGTTTGAACTTGATCGTCTCTTGAGCTATCAATAGGTTGTTCTTCTGGGACGAACTTTTGCTCTTCGGACTGTGATACAGCACTTGGTAGGAATTCGGATATATTTGCTGTTAATTCATTAAGTTTGCTAACTAGTTTCTCTCTTATTGATGGCGATGGTGAAAACTCCTCGAAATTCGACGATGTAAGATCTGTGGACTCTTGTTCAGATAATTTTAACTTTCTGGTTTCGTCTGTTTCATTGTCATCGAAATCATGACTAAAGTATTAAAAATACAACGTTAATTCAGTTAATGCTGAACGTTAATTCTTGAGTATAAAATTCATGTTCTATTTTCAGTCTAATTGTCATCATGTGGATCCTTAGTAAATTTTTAAAGATTGCTTTCATGCTCCTTATTCTTAGACTTAGTTATCACTTAAAAATAAATATTAAACAGATTAATTACTTACGTAAGCAAAGTTTTCGCTTCAACATCTTTTTTCAACATTTTTGGCCGTTGTTTTCGTTTCCTAGGCGGTTGTGGTGGTAAATGACCAGTCTCGCGTTTCTCATCGTCTTTACCGCTGCTACGACGTTGTCGAATATTTTTTCTTGTTTCACTTTCTGATGTATCCGAACCGGTTGATAATGGTGACGGTACATCGATAGTTCTTCTAGGTTTAAAAGCTAATTCTTGTTTTAGAGAATGTTCAGGTAATAAACTACTTTTAGGATAACTAGTTTCTGAATAGAGTTCAAATGATTTTCTTTCGTCCGTCAATGAAGAAGAGCGTGGTGACGGTGTATCGCGATCATATGACGATAAACGTTCAGTTTTTTGACGAAAACGATCAGGAAGTGGACGTTTCATGTAATCAGGTAAGACAGACTCGAATTTACTATTTGTTTCACCGTTGTCACTTTCGATTCTATGATAACTTAACTTCTGTGTCTCATCGGGTGATTGATCTCCAGCAGCAGTAATAGCATCGGCCCAATGTGAACTAATCATATTTGTTTCAGATTCTACGTCATCATTTTTTGTCGATGACGTTACTACTGGATGATAGTCTATGGATAAGTCGTCATCTTGCTTGCTTGAACTTAAAGTGTGCTTTCTTGGCTTTTTTCTACGTAAACGTCCTAAATCATCTCTATACGATAACAAACTGGTATCATTTTCTCCCGTTGTATCGGTTTCACTTGATAATTTAGATGCGGATTTATCATCTTCGACTAGATTGTGAAGAGGAGTATTGTTGTATGTCGTTTGATCTGTTAGTAATTGTTCAATTGATTTTCTAAATTACATAAAAAAATGTTTATATTTGATAGTTAAACTTAATTGTATGTAATACTAGTCTTATGCGCTTATGGCAGTTACAGCTGCTCAAAATCATTGTCTTTCAACTTTCAAAACGTTTTTTGTTTATGAAAAGAAATATTGTTTAAAAATTGCTATGAAACATTGAAGAGATTATTGTTCTGTGGGTTTGTTACAGTTAGAAACTTACCTCAACTCTTTTTTCTCGCTATCGACATCAGAAGTTGTTGTATTTATTGGCGGTTCTTGATTGAGCTGTGTTTCCAGATTTGTTGGCTGTTGAATAGTATTTGATATTGAACTACGAGCCGTTTGTCTTTCAAATTCCAAATCATCATTTAGTAGATCTTTTTTGTCTTGTTTGAGCAAGTCCGTCTGTTGAACAAATGATATTGGAGCTGTAGCCATGTAAGCATTATCTTGAACGATATTCGATTCACTTGAAAGTGTATCGATACTTGATGTGTTTTGTGATGTAGAACTGTAATTTTCTAATGAATTTGGTAGCTTGGTGGGCGTTTCCTCTAATTCTTGTTTCCTTTTCTTTTTTTTTGATTTCGTAGACTTTTTCCCTGCTACGTCTTGTTGCTGAGTATCTAACATGGACTTAGAAGTATCTTCTGGTAATATCTGAGATGATATAATAGATCTTGTTTGTACTTCAGGAATAATAACAGGTTGTAGTAATGATTCTGTAATCGTAGATGACGGTGATTTTTGTTTTATGGACGTGTCAAATACGATTGTTTGATCTTCATGTTGAAGAATTTCATCGTTTTTGCGTGTTATAGGTATAACGTTATCGGACTGCCGGGATTCGGTGGTTTTCTGTTGACTGTATGAACTTTCTATTATATCACTCGATTTCGCTTTGTTTTGAGAGTCAGTTAATGATGTACTACTCATATCGACAATTGTACCCATACCAGACAGGTAATCGGACTGACTAGGTATTCGAGTTTTGGCAGTAGGCATAACTGTCAATTCACCGTTCGAGTTGATTCGAATCTTCATATCAGTGACTTTTTCTGGTAACTGTCTATGTGGTGGACTATGGTGGATGGAAGACACGTTCGTTGGTGATGGAACAGGACGAATGCCATTTTTGTTTTTTGGTGCTTTTAATTTTTTTCTCTGAATCGTCCATTCTGAGTCGTCTGTTGTCGTCGATTTAGGACTATAGTCAGGTGATTGTTCCAAAATCGTTGAAGTTGTGCTTTGTACAGTAGGTTGAGTAGAGTGTGGTTTAACTGTCTGGGTGGTTGATACGTGACTAATTGAACTTGCCGTAATCGATTTTGTTTCATCTGTTTCTATATTTGTCTTACTTATGGAAATATCATCATTTTGTTCATCGTCACTTTGTGATAAATCTTGTGTTGTATTACTTTCCACGTTTGACCCTTTTTTGGTTGCAGATTTCTTTTTTCTCTTCTTTTTCGACTTTTTAAGCGAAGCATCTGTTAGGTTTTCCGAGGATGGCAGTTCAATTTGATTAGTGGTGGTAATCATCTCATCTCCGTGATTATGTCCATCAGTTTTGCTTTCAATTTCAATTAAGCCGGGATGTTGGTGAACTTTAACTTCTGTTTCATTCGCTGATATTGGTGTGTCCATGGTTTTTTCTGGATCAGCCGATACTGGTGATACTATAGTATCTGTTACTTTTTGGGAAGCAAGTTGTTGCTCATCGACCTTGGGAGGGAGTATGAGTTCTTCTTTACTTAATGATTGATCGGTGGACAGTTCTGAGACTGGTTCTTTCTTCTGCTTTTTATTCTTCTTATGCTTTTTCTCTTTCACTGGGCTAACTTTTTCTTGATCACTTTCTTTTTTGATTTCATCTTTTGAATCTTGTGCTGGTATTACCGAACTGACTGTAGTGGAAATGGTAGATGAAATCTGGTTTTTGAGATTTGATAAAAGTGGTATTTGCTCGTTATCATCAAGTTCTTGTTCGACGGCAGGTAAAATGAGTTTAGACTGTTTGTTATCAAGAGCGAGAGAAGTTTGATTTTTATGTTCTACGGTGGTTTGTTCTGTTTCGGATACTCCCTGCACATTTTCAAGCGATGTCTTGTAATGTACTGGGATTTGAGATAATTCGATAGTTTTCTCGTGGATATTTGATTGTGATAGTAAGTTTTCATTGGTAACTGATGCATCTTTCTCATTTACTATTTGATCTTTAGATTCACCAGGAGATAATGGAATATTCGTTTCCTTTAGTAGAATAGGTGACTTATCCTCGGATAGGGTTTGATTGTCTTGAAGTATGATAGATGTTAACGGTAAATCTATTCTCTGTTCTTTCTTTTGTCTCTTGTTTTTCTTTGATTTTTTGTCCGAACTGATTTTTTTCTGTTCTTCAAGTTTTGGCATATCATTTTCGTTGTTTTTAGCTTTCGGCGGTTCCTCTTGATTGTTCTTTGACTGTAAAATATCGAAAGCGGAATTAGTTATTGAAAATAGAGTTGAATTGAATGAATCTTTCAAATTTGAAAAAACAGATCCTTGATCAGTCTGATGGTCATCGGCTTGTATTAGTGCTGCAGATTGTGATTCTTCTGTAAGTGCTTCCTTTTCCGTAGACGGTGCGACGTTAGAGATCATTTTTTGTGTTATTTCGCCAACTGCCGGGAACGGTGTGACAACAGTTTGTTGCGTGGTTTTTAAAGAGCTTTGTTCAGTCTCAGAATCAGGAATGCTTGACTGCTGTTGATATTGTTCGTTTTCGCTGGTTTCATTAGTTTTATTTGTTGATGATACATCTGAAGATAGTTTATCATCGACTGGCATACCATTTTCGTTGTTTTTAGCTTTCGGCGGTTCCTCTTGATTGTTCTTTGACTGTAAAATATCGAAAGCGGAACTAGTTATTGAAGATAGAGTTGAATTGAATGAATCTTTCAAATTTGAAAAAACAGATCCTTGATCAGTCTGATGGTCATCGGCTTGTATTAGTGCTGCAGATTGTGATTCTTCTGTAAGTGCTTCCTTTTCCGTTGACGGTGCGACATTAGAGATCATTTTTTGTATTGTTTCGCCAACTGCCAGGAACGGTGTGACAACAGTTTGTTGTATGGTTTTTAAAGAGCTTTGTTCAGTCTCAGAATCAGGAATGCTTGACTGCTGTTGATATTGTTCGTTTTCGTTGGTTTCATTAGTTTTATTTGTTGATGATACATCTGAAGATAGTTTGCCATCGACTGAAATAGTTGTTTCCTATAACAGATATTTTAACTGAAAGTGGTACAAATCTTTTAGTTTTTGAAGAGTACAGTATTGTTCCGAAAACCGTATTCTCGAGTGCACCAGAAATAATGTCTTTCTCCATATTTTCTAAATATCTCGGTCAAGGTTCATCGCCAAGTCTCGATCTTTTTTAAAAAGATTCCTCATTCAAATCTCTACACAAAACATATTGAACATTTCTTCATATACTATAAGAATAGAAAACTATAGAGGAAATACGGGAACGCTTCAATATCGATTACTTTCAAACTCAAAAAACAGGTTTTTCAATTTCAGTCCCTTATATTTTGCGATCTAAAAAAAGAAAAATGACTGTTTTGTAGTTCTCGAAAAGCTCTACCAACTGACTATATTTAAGACTCTTCATAGGCACAAGCGTTCGCAGAAGAGGATATCCCATGTTGTTTATATTTTTAGTAAAATCTTCCTGACAGTCCTGACAGAAAAAAGGTTTGTAGCGAACTTATGATACATGTAAAGAGAGATGACATTCCGGAACACTAGAGAATACATTTTGATCCTACTCTGATGCACAGCACCATGTTCAAAATAAATATTTTTTAGTTGCACTTTGGGTTTGAAAGTAATCGATATTGAAGCTTTCTCGTATTTCCTCTATAGTTTTTTATTCTATATTTTTTAAGAAAGGATATCTCATACTAACTGCATCAGCGCTTTTTATTTATGTTGTAACTCACAGGACTAGGACGAGCAAGCTTTCGAATCAAGAAAAAATTATGGATTAAATAACGGAGTTTTCTCAATGTTTATTTGGCAATTGTAGGTTATACTCTTCAGATCCGATAAGTCAGATTTACCTACCTCAATTTTGCTGGTTTCATTTTGTGCTGGCTTTAATTGTTCATCAAACTCGTCGATTTCTTGATTGACAGATTTTACAGTCGACGAAATATCACTCGGTACTTCATCAAGTTCGCCTTGCTGCTGTGTATACGATTGCATTGAAACAACGTTATCAGAACTCGTCTGTTGTGATGCTGACGCTGGTATTGTATTACTCTCGGTTACGGATATATGCAATATTTCTGATTGTGAAGCATCGGAAAAAGCTTTATCTTTATCTTTTTTCTGCTTCTTTTTATTTTTTTTGCTTTTTGTCGTGATAGTCGACGGTTGTTCGGATGATAATGATTGCGATTGTGGAGTAACTTCACTAACAGATAAAGCTAACGTTTGAGGATCATTGGTAGCGACCGGTTTCAAATCAATGTCACTTGTCAACGCTGCTGGTTTTTCATCTCGATACTCAGATGATTTTGTTTGTGGAAAATCATCTTCCGTCGGTGACATTGTACGTTTACGACGAAGAGTAACAGGCGCATAGTCGTCAGCGCGATCTTCTACCACACTTATATTAGTATTATTCTCTTGCTGTTGTGTTTGTATTTCGTCTCGTTGAGGAGATGCAGCTTTCGTTATTTGAGTACTGATTTCTGCCAACTCGTGTACTTTTTCCAACGTAGCTGACGTATCATGTAAAACATTTCGATCGTAATCTGGTGTAGATAATCGTTCATGAGGCTCCGGTTCAAATTCGACTATTTGTTTTGTCTGACTAATAGAATCGAGAGTTTTTGACAATTGTTCAGAGATAAGACTGAGCTTGTCTTCAGCTTGTATTAATTGAGAATAAGAAGTATACCATGGATAAGTGTCAGTTAGAACTTGTAACTGTGCAGATGGCTCAGTAACAACTATTTTATCTTTCACAGAATGATCATCTTTTACTCTACTTTCATTCGACGATGGACTGATTTCTATGACATTATCTAATGATGGTTTTTGTTGTTGTGCTTCAGATTTGTCCTCAACGACCGATTTTTCTTCAATTGAGCTTGATATTTGCGATGATTTCGCTTGGTCATTTTCTTCAGCAGATTTTTGTAGGGATGGCGTCTGTTCATCAAT